CTCTACGGCAGCCGAGCTGCTTGAAGACATCGCAACTATAAACTACAGGCTGCATTTGCCAACGTTTGTAGATAAACGTTGGTAGTAACTGCATTCTCGCATTCCCGCGCATCACTCAGAACCTCTATGCTCGGAACAGAAAGGCCCTAGTTTCGGTTTGAAGTCGGTGGCTTTTCTACAACATAGATGGCGGCAGCATCAGTCTTCTGCACTCGGTGCATTTGGCAAGTTCATTTGAGTCCAGTTTTCCGTGCAACACTCTGTGAGTGCGATGCATTCTGGGAGAGAACTCGAACGGTGCCAGTTGGTGTGAAACGAACTCGCAATAAGAAACCGAATTTTTCAATTGATTTAAAGAGCCTGGCGTCTCCTTGTTTCACCCTGTAGATCGGCCATGGTAACCTTTGAGATATGTGCACAAAACGAGTCTTAAAGCCTTTCAGGAATATTAAAACGTTCGTAGAAACTTCATACGTTGCAGTCTCTTTTGCTTTAGAGTCTGCAGCTCCACACGGGCCTAATTATTTATCTTCGAAATATTTTCGGCTTCTGCCACCCGTATTCACGGTCGGAAGGAGCTTACTCGATCTACCGATCTAACTCTAGGGTAAAGGTGATTATCGAAAACCTACCCGCGTCCAGCGTTTCTCTATTTTTGTTGTCACGTGACATAATCGGCCAGTGTAACTCGGATCCATTCGAGTAGGTTTGGAACGCAGCCTCGGTGTGTCGCGCTCCTGGGGTGCTATCCTGGTCACAAACGGTCACGTTCGTGTTTCTCGAAAACTCCTCCCCCCTACGAACCGCGCGCTCCTATTGGCCACAGCCCGCGTGATAATTCCACGCGGTTCCCATGGGAACGTTCGCGAAACACGAAAGCAACCGTTTGCCGTAACTGTCGCTCTTCGAGTTCGGACCGTGACGACAAAGTGACGCATGACCACGTCCGACCTACGTAGCACATAGCGGAAGTCGCGTCACTAGATTAACTGCGGTATTACTCGACACACCCTACTCTCTGTTTCACTATCAGTGCGAGCTAGTGCGGGTGTAGGAGCTACAAGAACGTGCTCCGGGCTTTCAACGTCCCTGTCGAGCAGGCGCGCTTGCGCAGTGCAAGCCAACGTTCGTGCAAGATCGTTCGGGGTGATGCGCTCGTGCTTTTAACCTCTCTTTCTATTGCACAAAGGGGAACAAGCTTTGGGCAGGATTCTAAAGCGTAGAAAATGGCGGCGATGCTTGTTGCTCACCGATGGCTCGACCAATACGTACAATGACGGGTTTTCCGCGAGCACCCGGTTGCCTTCGCGATGCACGACGACAGTTTCTGACGACAATACCGCTTGTCGAAAAGCACCGTGTGATCCTAGTGTGACAACGAGAGACGGCGACGATGAGAGATGATGACCGTCGAGCAGCAGCTACAAATTGAATCGCACCGAGATTTTTCGCAACGGGGAACTACAAGGGCGCGGTTGCCCCCGATGATCACATAGCTAATGCCCAGTGGATGGTGAGCAGAGCCGTGCCGGCCGTCGTGAGTATCGCTGTCAACCGGCTGGGAAGAGAAGGTTGGGTCGACGAAACCCCGGACCGAGGCAGCTGAGGCATGTGCGAAAGAAGGCTTTCGTCGCCACCATGACAAGCACACCGACGTCGTCGGGTGCGTTGACTAAAATTCGACTCTAACTAAACCTTCGTCACCGTCATCATCGGTCTGAAGGAGACCGTCACCATTCTGAAGGACTCCAACACTTTGCCGCAAACACCATTTTGCCATTAACAACATGGTAGTAAGTTGACGTTTAAACTTCAGGGTTTCTACCGCTTCGAAGTTAGTGCACGCTTAGAACCTAGGTCTTCAGTTGACAATTCGTTGCGGTCTGTAGCTACTGTCAATCACGCAATAAAATCTGGATGGGTTGCTGATGGCATTTTGTTCTATGAATTAGATATTTTACCTTTTCACGCCAAGCTGCTGGAATTGCAAGTCAGTCATCGGAAAGTCATAAGAACACTTTTCGATGCCCTGCAATAAACTACGAAGAGGTCTGTCCTAAAATGAATCGTTACTTGTCTAGACAGCAGCAGTTTAGTTTGACAGAGTATGGTAACATTGTTACCCACTGTAGACAAGAAATTTAGCCAGTGTCTTGTGGATGGTTGTTATCTTCGTGACCACGAAAAACAATAAAATAGAATTGTCCTACATTCAACACACGTGTGTTTAATGTAAAGGCTATTATAGCAATTAAACAGATTGTCGTTTCAAAAGTGACAGTAACTCATTGAAATTAAAGAGTAGTGTGAGCTCGATTTTTGAGATTGGCCTGTGATGCAGAGCAAATACGCACTGTTGGCTTATCACCATCAAGCATAAACAACAAGCGGAGGCAGAGTAGATGTGTGAAGGAAAAGCGAGCATATGTACTAAAGAAAGAACTGCTACGTAACGTGAAGAATGTCAGCAACTATCTTGCCATTGTGGTACGAGCTCAGTGGCTATGCACATGCTTATAGCAGCCTGTGAATGTAGGATGCTCCCCTTATGTGGCAAAGCCAGGGGGGGGGGGGGAGGGGGGAGCGAGAAGGGGGGGGGGTTTATGGGGCTTCGCTCCTTTCCTCCCCAAATCCGGCCGGCCCTAGAATATACACACAAATTCCGACACCATCCCCCCCCCCGCACCCCAAGTCATGAACATCCCAGCCACCTCAACCCCCCTCCATCCTCACCCTCTTAGAAGTTCCTGGCTACGCCACTACTATCAACAGCACTCAATAGATAGTCAACATTATGAAGATAAACGAAATTTATTTTATTTTATGCACCATATAGGCAGTGTTTTTGTCTTTATATGCATGCAGCCAAAGCACACACTGTAGAAAACACTTGTGTGAAGCCTGCGTTCACAATGCGGTCCCCATCAAACTTTCAAGGCGTTAACGAATTCCACAAATTAAATTTTCAACGAAACGATTTTGTTTTGCAAAATGCTGGCAAACTTACGGTGCGTTTTACATCATTCACCTTTGTCGTCCGATGAACCAATAGTCAGCACTACACAAACCTCAATGAGCTTGTCGTTTGTTTTCTTGCCGTTGGGGCGATCGCTGGGGGTCGTGGCGGCGGCACAGTTCTTTCTCAGACCGTTGGCTGCTGCCTTCGTGCTCGCGGAAACGTGGTTCTCTTTGTGTCAAGGCGAGGTTTTGAATCTTAATGCACCGCAACGCTGAATAAAGGTCTATTACCGTCTTTATAATATCAGCAACGCTACCGTACGAGCCACAACAACACCACCACTTTCAAGCTTCATAACACCGGCACAAATAGAAGCCAAGTCTTGCATCGCGCCAAGCGTTACATCGGAGACGTTAAACGCCAGCTCACTGTGCTCTTCGACCCGGTCCTGCCGCCGAATGGGCTCATCCAACAGCACGAAAGTATTCGTGCGCGCGTTGATCAAGTGACCGATCGCATGTCAAACCCCAGCCGCGGTCGATCCGACGAGCATCGCGGCCATGTTCTTTCGAGTTTAACTGGCCAAGGGTACGGCTGTCGAGTTAAAACAATGCAAATAGTCCCGTGCATTCTTGTTCTTACGTCATTTTGTCGTCACAACCCGAACTTGAAAAACGATTGTTAGCGGCAAACAGAGGCTTTCTAGTTTCACGAACGTTTCCATGGCAAATGGCGTTGAATCGTCACGCGCAATGAAGCCAATGGGAAAGCGAGGTACCTATGTAGGGAAGTGTAAAAACGTAAAGAGCCGTTTTTTTTTTTGCACGAGCTATTCAGCAAATGAAAATAAGTAAAAAAGACTGCCCGAGATTATGCCGTCGCGTGCATTTCTTCAGCGCCGAAAGAGAAGAGCATGGCTTATGGAAACTATACAGGCAGAATCACTGCAGTGAGCAAAGGAGCAAAGCATTATTAAAACTGCCCGAAGAAACTTTCCTGCATCATCCACAGAATGCTCACAACCGTTGCACTCTGCGTCGATCTCATGACTTGTCATATACTCCCACAGAGTCGTCGTCAGCTCTGTATCCATCTGAAGTCTCCTTCGCAGGCAAACAGGAAATTTCATTAGCAGCTTATGTTCAAGGCGGCTTCACAAAGGATGATCGGTGTCGCAGCGCACCTTCACGTAATATTTTTTTTTCTCGTAATGCCATCCGTATCGTGCAGAAGCAGGGAAAGCAACGACGCAAACGAGACACATACACCACAAGGTCGTTACCGCGGTTTTCGCCATGTTTGTTTTCAAATACCGTAGCGAAAGACTTCGAGAAAACAAGGTGAGATATCTTAGCTAAATTTACTTTACGTCATAATTATTGAAATAATCTTTCGTATTTTATCAAAGGATAATATTATTTTTTTCTGGTTCCTTCCATTTTCCGGAAGGTAGCCTTTTCTCCGTTATTCGCTCGTTTTAACTCCCGGAGGAAAGAAAGAAGAGAACAAAAAGAACAGGGGGAAATGCGGGGATTTCTGCGCCCCAACTGCGTGGACACGTCATCGCGACGTAGGGGATCGTCAGATTCTAGCTTGCCGCGTGCGTGAACCCGAACGTTGGGGCGGAGCCTCAAACAAGAATCATTCTAGTTTGAGGCTCCGCCCCTTCTTTCTCAATACGTCACAACTCGAAAGGTACCCGTTTGCGACCAGAATAGCACCCCTGTACGCTATGCGCCGTTTAGTTGCTGCGCTCGGAGTATGAAACTCGGAGCGTCGGAGTAGGAATAAAGAAGCGCCGACTTAACGCGCCCACTATCCGCACTCGGAGTGCGAATAGGGACAGCCTGGATGGACTGGCTCGACAGTTATCTATTCGGACGTGACACGCCCGGCGGCGGTGCTCTAAGCTCGTCTCTGTCATTTCGGCATGCGTCTCACTTCAAACTTTGAATCTACAACGAAAACTAGCTGGATATCCCTTCAAATATGTTCAATCAACACGCTATCCAATCAATTTAAAAGAGAAACACTCGCTTACCGGCGGTTAGCGTTTCCCGAAGGTGCTCCGGCAGCCGTGCACAACCTACGGTCGTTGACTAGACGCAGCGTCCATCAGCGTCTCCCAGATGTCGTTTGTTACTCTTGACAAAGTACCTGTAAAAGAAAAAAGAAAAAAAAAACCGTAAAGGAATCGGTTTAAACGCAGAAATGAACGCAAACCACAGAGCGACGTCGACGACGGCGCGCTTCCCATTCGTATGCCAGACTGTGCCAGACCATCTGGAACTACGGAGCAAGTGGTGGTCAAAAACGCAAAACTTTAAATGCTCTTTTCTTTTTCTTTTTTTTTTTACTTTTTCTTTTACACGTCGTATGAACAACGGCTTTTTTTTCTTTTTAACGCGCCTGCGACAACATTTTTGGAGTGACCGCTTTTGTGCAAAATTGTTTTGGTGCTACTGTAAATTCTGAATAGTTTTGGTTTCGGAAACCAAGTGGAGAAAAAAAAAATAACGCTTTCGGAAACACTAGTAGTATCTCTGGAATCGTGATTTGAAAGGGAGATTGGAAATGACGCTTTCTTTTGTTTTAGTACAAACTCTGCCTTTATTTTTTTATTTGTGCTTTTTTTTAACAATTGTGCTGTCCCTTCGTCGCGTAGTACAAACTGTGCCTGCATTTATTTATTTTTTGTGCATTTTTGTGCAAAATTTATTGTTTTTTTATGCTATGGCTTCGTCACATTTTCCAAAATAAATATTTGTAGCACTTCAACAACGAATATAAATGAATTAACGAAAATGGTTCAATATAAAGACGAGCTACTCTAATTCACAGTATGCCCGAAGTGCAATGTGTGCCCTTAAAAATATTTTAAATGCAAAGGATATTTATTTTCATAAATGCTTTCAGTATAGAAATAGGGATTTCGTGAGTATGGCTTGCAGCCTAGATGACGTCACAGTATTTCGTGACACTGATGCTATCACCCCAAAGGCGTTCGAAATTCTAACTATACTCCATCTCAGAAATGTCTACAGTAAAGACGAAGGCGCAGAGAGGCGCGTGAGCATCGCTCAGTAGTGTGCTTTTGTTTGTACGAGCACTCGTTCATAAGAGGCACTTTCTAAAGCCACGCGCTCGTGCCGGTGCCTTTGTCTTCACTGCGAAAATTTGAAAGTTCTTTTTTTCTTTTCTTTTTTTTTGCAATTTTTGACGTAGGTTGGCCGTAGTTTGTTCCCAAAGTGACTTTTTGTTTTCTTTTTACACCCTATTTTTAAACGAAGTTTGAAAGTCTCCGCAGGCACACCTGACCGCTACTGTTAATATTCTGCCGCTTTTTAGCTACACAAATTACATTTTGTTTTACATCCAGGGCCAGTGGCGTAGCCAGGGGAATCCCCCCAATACCCCCCAAAAATACGCACACGCGAGCGCGCAAGCACACACACAGACGCACATTCACGCAGACATGCACACGCACGCACACATACACGCGCGCGCACAGGGACGCGTGCGCACTCCCGCGCACACATGCACACAGACGCACGCACGCCTGCACACACCAGCGTTGCACACGCAATCGCATCCGCAGAGGCACGCACACGGACTCTCGCGTTCACACCTACACACACACACACAACGCACGTAAAAAAATGCATTTAATTTTTTTAACATAATCTAAACCCTGAGACAAGGAGAAATAAAATAACGGAGAGGGCAAGTTGTTTTGTCTGTTATTTTGTTTATCATTGTCTCAGGGTTTACTTTCGTTCCTTGATCTTTCAAACCTGCCGGAATCTATAACGAAACTACCTCAAGTATAGTTTCGGTTTCTTTGCATGGGCAGCGCTTTGAAATAAAACTGGTAAAACCGTAAAACCGGCCGGTCAAGACAATCCATTTTTTCAATGGCGTCGCAGACTCGCAGTTTCATCTGGACGTGTCGCTTGGACGTGTTGACGGATTTAAAGGTGAGATATTATCTGCAACATCCTTTAGAATACTTGTTATTTGTTCGGGAACCTGGTAAGTGAATATAGAAACATTTTATTGTTTACATTTGATGGGAGCGACCACATATGTCTGACTGTCTCTTTCGTGGTTTCGCGGATTGCTTTCGCTCTTTAAAAATACCCTGTGCCCAGAGTGCCCTCATTCAATTCCATTCTCACGGCGATATTTTGGGGTTCTTATGGTATCCGCGAGTTTATCGTTAATAATTTATTTTGAAGTTCTGCCGTGGTACTAGCGACATGATAACGGGGTGATCTGCTTTCAGCTTCTCAACCTGTACTATCGCGGACAAAATGAGCTGAAACAGCGCTCCGCCCTGCGCCGCCTGTCGCCTTGCTCCGCACGCACGGCGCACCCTGAGGCCGAGATAAATTCTCACTTGCGCTCGCTCCGCCACTGCGCTCTTCCGTCCGTCTGCTAGCGAGACGGCTTGTGCGACAGCGGGCGTGTGCGTGGTAGGGCGGTAGGGGGGGAGGGGGGGGGGGGTGGGGGGATGTGCATTGTTGAGGTTGTTCAGGGCACAGTTCAGGCGTTCCGCTCTAGGCAAGGGGTTTTGCGGTGCGGCAAGGTCGCTCCCACGCCACGAGGCGGCGTTTTGTTGCCTCTGTCGAATGATTCAAGTCCCCATGTGGCATGTAATTTCTACGGTCACTGTCATCGTCGCTGCTCTCCTCGGCCTCGTCTCCGTAGCCAAGGGCCTGTGCTATACCGCACTACAACGCACTTTGCCCTTTCTGGTCGATGCTACTGCGTTGTCCCAAGATGTGTTCGACAGTCTCCTCGTCGCTGCCACAGAGCCCGCAGTTTGGATCTTCTCCATAGAGCTCAAATCTGCGTCTCTGGGTCAGTAGGGAGCCCGTTCGAGCCTGGAACAGCAGCGCGCTGGCTCGGTCTCCCCGCTAGTGTGGATAGGGCGCTGGTTCCTTCTTGTGTTTCCTGTACAGTTGGAGGCTCAGTATCCTCTGCATTGTCCTTCTCCAGTCCTCTATTCCGGCCCGTGTCACCTCTGCCCGTATTGTCTTCGCCCGCTCCTGTTCCGTCGTCACCAGGTGTCTTGTTTTGCCCCCACCGTACTTAGAATCTATGGTCTTTATTCTCTTCATCCAGCCTGTCTTGGACCCCTGATATCGGATGTGGTAGTACATCCTTCTGGCGTAGCTCTCCTGGGAAGGAACTTTAGTCTGCCCATGTATGCAAGCTTCGACGTGGCCTCTCATATCTCGTGGGTAGACATCCCATTTCCCCGGTTACCGCTGCGTTTGCTGTGCAGCTCAGCAGCCATCTCCCCAGTCTGTATTGACACTTTACCAGACACACAGACACTTTACCACTGTCTCGCTGTATGTAAGCGCGTCATTCGCGTAAGTCACTGCTTGGACTGCAAGGGATTTCCATAGTAGCCTCCCAACCGAGTGTCTATTGTATGAGTGCCTGGCGAGATGCCACAGCACCCCCTTCAGTTTGTTTGACTTTTTAATTACGTGTTTTTCCTGTTTGGTCAGGTACTCCTTGCTGTGCGTTATTGTTACACCAAGGTAATTGTAGGCTGTTGTTTTCTGTACTGTTTAATTTTGTAGGTAAAAGCTGGTGTCCAAATTCACGTTGGAGCCCATCCAGTGCGTTCTTCCTGCATTAAATTTAAGGTTGTCCCTCGCTGCCACCCCTGTGCAGATGTCAATCATGTGCTGCATATCAGTTGAGGACTCTGCGAGGAGCACCACATCGTTCGCAAAGGCCAGGCATGGGATGCGCGTGTATTCTTCCTCTCCGTCCTTGGTCGTAGTGCTCAAGCGCAACCCTGCCCCTTCCTCCTCCAGATGTTTGAGATGTTTCAGAAGGTCGTTTGTGTACACATTAAACATTGTTGGCGATAGGGGACACCCCTGTCTCAGTCCAATACTTATTGGTACTGGTTTTGATTTGTAGTTTTCTAATGTGTACCAGGCCTCGCAACCCCTGTACAAGCTCTTCAGGAGTTCGACACTTTCCTTTTCGAGTCCGCTTTTCTCCATCTTATCCCATAATCTTTGGTGTGGTACTGCATCATATGCTTTCTCTAGGTCTAGGAATGCCAGGAACAACTGGGAGTTTTGGATGTTTTTCACTTCTATGGCTTGGGATTAGCGTTAATAGGTTATCACTTGTTCTTCTGTTTTGCTGAAAGCCATTTTGAGCTTCTACGAAAAAGTTGTTTTTATCATACAAGATCTGTAGCCTGTGGTTTATTATGCTTGCAAATAATTTGCAGACTGCTGATTATTGCGATTGGTCGATAGGCATTGAGGTCTTTTGGGTATGCTTGTTTCCTTTTATATAGGAGCTTTACTCTTGCCTGTTTCCACACTTACAATATTTCTGTTGACACCAGGCGTTCATTAAAACATTTTCTGAGGTTGTTTGCTGCCTCTTTTTTAATTGCCTTCAGGAACTCGTTCGAAATATCATCCATACCGGTTGCCTTCTTGTTTTTCAGTCGTCTTATTTTCCTCTTCATTTCCTCCGTGGTTATGGGATCTAGTATGAAATGCTTCTGTATTTTGCGTTTTCCCAAAGTTTCTTTTTGACTATATGTCTCTTCCGGGGTTCGCTTCAGTTTTTTGTTGTTGCTGTAAGAAGTACTCAGTCATCCATCCTTCTATTTCGCATTTTTCTTTCAGGTCTTTGCCCCCTCTTTGCAGCATACGTGTCTGTTCTTTCTTTTTTTTCTGCATGCATTGTAGTAATTTGTCTCCAGAATTTCTCGTTAGATTTTTTCCCTTCTTTCAGTATGTCTTCCTCTGTCTTTCTGCAGAACTGTTGAATTTTTGTGGCCACTATACTTTGTTTCACCTTGTGTTGTACCGCAGGCAAGGCTACAAGCGCGAGCTCCCTGCTCTATGGCACACCTCGGCGGCACAAGCTCTCGTGCACCAAGGGCAGCTGCCAACGCTATGAGCTCGCACTTCTAGCCTTCGCTGCGGTACAACATGAGGTGAAACGGAGTATAGTGCCAACTTTTTGTTCTTCAAAACATTCTCACGAGTAGTCTTGGGTGTAGCCTTTTCGTTGTGCCCACCTGTGCTGCCTGTTGATCTCTCGTCTTCCCAATTTCCTCCTTTACCTCCTGTCGAACCAGGGCCTTCGGTTTTATTGTTTCCCTTTTCTGGTTTTTTCCACTTGTTCTTTGGCTGTTTGGGTAATTAGGCTCATTAGTTCTTCATATGTGCTGTCTTTTGTAATTTTTTTCTCCAATTCTGATGCAAATTTTCCTATTTCATCTTCTGCTCCTAGCTTCCAGTGGTTTTCCTGGATGGTTGTTTTTGCTTTTGTTTCTGTCTTTGGTTGTTGGTGTTTAGTTTTGGCAGTATTCTGTTATAATCGCTTGCACAGCTGCTTACCTTGCTCTCGTCTATGTGTATAGCATCTATCTTGATGTTTTCTTTGCCTGCCTCGTCGTTTATGAGGATATAGTCAATTGTTGATTTTTGGTTGTTGCGGCTCCAGGTTGTTTTTTCCTTGCATTGTGGCTCCAGGTTAACTGTAGTTAAAGGGGGGGGGGAGGGGTTCAACAATTTTATGGTTAAAAGAATTTGCATCTCCTCATTTTTACGTTGTTTATCGTGCCCCGGAGGATAGAGAAACCATTTCCTTTCTTCAAAATGTCGCGATTTTGCTGCATAATTGCAAAGCAAAAGCCGAGCTTTTTCCCCCACTTGCAGCCGCAAGTGGCAGCCGGAGGAACTACGGCTAGAAGATTACGTGACTTCGCTCGGCTCTAAGCTGCAGCATAACGCCCGCTAATGTCAGCAGAGAGAGGGAGAGGAAGTGTCCTCCGAGACAGCACACGGGAACCTACACGGCACTCCGAAGGACGTCACTAGGAGGGGGACCAGGTGTGACCCTGAAGACTGGGAGTGAGTTGAGGGGTGCCCGAAATGCCAATATTTATCTTTTTTTATGCAACAACTAGGACACGCAGGAGAAATCGGTTTTCTGCTTGTTACTTCAGAAGTGTCAGAGGGCAACTTCCACAAATTTTTGACCGAAGTCCGGAAATCGTTGCACCCCCCCCCCCCCCCTTTATGCTGTGTTTTTTTACTAGTTTCCCGAGTTCTGCTGCTTTGCTTTCGCTACCATCCAGTTCTAATATGTGGCAGTTAAAGTCACCCACAATCATTATCGGTTCATTTTGGAAGGTTGAGCCAATGTCTTTTGAGATGCCGTCGTAAATTGATTTGTTCCATGCCGGATCTTCATTTGCCGTTGTCGAGTAGGTTGTGCAGATGGCGCCACTTGCCCTCGAGGCTTCCAGCGCTCCCTCAATGGTCTAACCCGAGCGACTGGCAGCAAAGTTACAATACCTGAAAAAAGTATTGTATCCTTGTCCCCAACTTTGGCGGTTCTCTATAGAAGGAAATAAAACTAATTGAAGAACCTAAAATCGTAGTCGCTTGAATTTTTTTTTCTGTGAAAAGGCATTTTGATAAATACCGAGGCAGACATCTGCTTCTGTCCTTGCGAACGCCAACTGTCGTTTACATACACTGGCATTAATTGTTTATGTTCAGTCTTATTTTATTACCAACTAGCGTTCCTTAGGCTGCAGTTAACGCGTGAGCAACATAGTCTGGGCCCGTTTGCTTGAAGCGCTAACAGCTGCTAAAGTTAGCCGCAGTACCTAGGAGAGGGATTATTATATCACATGACTGGCTCGGTAGGGATGCGGGGAAACGTGGCGGTGCCCCGGTGAGTGAGTGCCACTCGCTTTGGAACTAATATGTCGTTGTGGCTGTAATATCGGGCGCTTTAGTCAGCAATGAATGGTGCAAGAGGCTTTCGCTTTGCCTTACCTCACTTAAATCGCAAAGCATGAGCAATGACCTTGCCACATCTTTTTTATAGTCTTTTGATTCTGGCCATTACTAAGCCTAAATGAACGCGATATTTGTCGGCATGGCAGCGTCTTTGGAACGCGGATTGCCTTGACTCAATTGGCCGGGTATTGATAGCACACAAAAGCTGACAGCGTACCATTAGACCTTTTTTAAACTACCCAAGCATCAAGAACGCTGGAAGTGTAATTCTACGGTCCGCGCGCGCTGGCCTTTTTCTTATAAAAGATTAAATGTAAATAATCATAATAAGGCTTTGACGAACGTGTGTGCGAGGCAAAAGTTGTTTTGGACTTTTTGATTTAGAACAATTACCACTGCAGACGCTAGCACGTGCAACGCCTGTAACTACACTTAGTGCTTGGGAAATTTAGAAAAAGGTCTATTGGGACGCTGTACAAGCTTGCACAACGTCTTTGCGGAGCAAGCCATTGAGCTGCTTCGCCTAACTACACCTAGCCGCCTAACTGCACAAACAATTTTGTTCTTAGTGCCCCTCAAGCAGGGTAAGCAAATGGCAAAATTAAAAATGTCCTAATGTCACTCTTCTTTTTTATTTTGCCTGGTGTACATGTGAACGAATAACAAAAAATACACCCGTTATGTGGCATACTTACCTTTGGTAATGGAGCATTTCGCATCATTGGTGATTTCCTTCTCTTGCGATTAGAATGTGCAAACACTGTTGGAATGGCAGTCTGTTTTAGCTTCTTCCAGCCATCTGCGCAATTTTGCTCAAACTGGGATTCTTCAAATTGCCTAGAAAAATATGATTTATTTTACTTAACAATGCCCTATAATTAACTTTTACATGCTTAGTTGCATCATGTACATTAAATCCAGGACAACTTATAACTTTCAATTTACATAGCAGTCACTAGTTTGAACAGGGCTGTCATAACCAGGGCCCCTTAGAAGTTGCAGATAGTGAACATGAGAAATGCACATAATTAAAATTAACTTTGCCGTTTTGTTTTGTTTCATTTAAATTCCATGTGCTCGTATATCTTTATGCAACAAACAAGGATTGTAGCTTTAGCGATCGCACATGCTTATCTTGATTGCAACAAACTATAATTATGTCTCACTTTCTTGAGTTGAGCCAAAGTTTGAACTGCATATATGACCAGATCAATGCTATTGACAGTAATTTATAAATTTATACCATCCGTGATTGTAGCTGTAGATGCGATCACGCAAGGCACGGGTGATCATTTCCATAGAGGAAAGTTTTTGGAATAAATGAAAAGATTCTTACCTCAGAAAGTCGAGAACCAGCAGTTTGGCGTCCACGTGTCGCGCTTTATTTTTATTAGCCAGTGTTTCCCTCATTTGTTTCTTTCGGAATAATAAACAACCGAAAGCCGTCATGGCTGCTGTTAGAGCACCTGACGGCACAGCAACAAATCATTTTCGTCTTTGAAAATAAAAGCTGAGAAAATCAAGGAGCCGGTAAACCTCCAGGGTAGCCTATGCGCATGTACGGGGAATAATAACAAAAATGGTGGTCGGGAGCGTGTCGATTGCAGCGTTTTCGTCGTTGCCACGCGGTTGCTAGGGCCAACGTCAATGCCGGTGGGAGGAGTCAAGGGTCCGCCTGGGTTCACCGAGGACAATGGATGGCCAAACTCTCCCCTATCTATAGCTCTGACCCTTGGCAGATGGAGGCACCATCTGTGAGATGCTGTCACAAACAGCGGCATTCTGTCTGCTGCTTTTCAGGGACGGCGTCCTCTCATAGTCAAAAACAGTTTTCCACTTCTAACTTTTTATTCCGGTAATGATATGCGCTAAAACTTAACCATCTCGCTTGAATGGCTGCGGCTATGTTCCAACGGCGTTTGAGCTTTCTCCAAAGTCTAGTTTATTTTTGCGGTGCGAAAACCAGGGTTCGATTTTTTCAGGGACATTCTGTACAATAAGCTATTGCACCCTCCTCCTTGTTAAAAGTTCTAGTCGTTAGGGTTGTTTTACTCATTATATGGTGTGTCTCTCTTCATGATATAAACCACAGTGAAGTTTGAATTCTTGTGCAAGGTGCCACCCTGACCAGGCTGAAGCTGACATGATTAGCAAGCATCGTAACGTGAGTTGAATGATATGACAGCATATATTGACTACTGTGTGGATGTTCGTGCTTCGTGGCAGTCATGCGATAACAGTTGCCTTGACGTCACTTGTGTTGATGGAAGGTTGCCCTATTATGTCAGCAAGAACTATTATTTGTTTTGATTAATTTGGGGAGCTTGTGGGCCATTACATGGAGTAACTTTGTACAGCATCCTTGTCTAAGGGCTTTACCTGTTGGAGGATAATGCCTTATTTGCATTGCATTCCAAATCTCACTTTTTAATTACTTCAATAATACCTAGTAGCTGGCATTTGATGTCAGCTTCTGCCACATCAACCCATGACCTTTGATTGTGTGCCAAACACACCACTAAATAGAAATGGCTTTATTATTACGTTTTGTTCCTCCATTGCATAGGATATGGGAATCCCAGCAATTACATTCTCCAACGGTATTTTGTAATATTCACAATTTTAAAATATGTTAACAATTTTATAAACCTCCAAGTCACTCATTAACTGATCCATTATTTAAATAAATGTCAACTGTTAACCGGTTGCAAGTTTCTAATTAATGCACAGTCCCACCCTGCATTACTGTTTGTGTATAATATCAGGAAATGTTGATTAAACATACAGGTTATTTCATAACAACTTTTTATGTCTGACCCATTATATTCAGTGTTTTCTAGATAAGTTTGAAGTTGTATAAGAGAGTGCTCATCTTAAAATTAAGCCATACCACTGGATGTACACTAGTGTGTGACCGATACATATGTTCCCAGCGAAATGAAAGAAGGGATTTAAGAAGGGCAAACCACTTGCTTTGCTGTTTGTCTTGTCTTCTTTTAGGTGCATGGGTGTTTACGTCGAAAAGTGTTAAAGTGAAATTTGCTGCTGCAGGACTAGTTTTCCTGACTCGGCTGGTTTGTCTGGCAGCTTGCAACCTATGGGAACCTGAGGAACTGCATCACAAGAGTGAAAGGGACGCCCACCCAGCACTTCTTCGAGGATGGTGCCTTGAAGAAGGGAGAAGTGCGCCTAAAGTGAATGCCATGGCAGGTGGGTCATTAAAGTGAACCCCTAGCACAAATAATCCCAAACAAAAAATTATTAACAAATGGGTTAGAAACAAAAAATGGAAATATGGAAAAAGAGGTGGAGGTGAACACACCATAGCACTGTGTTTTATGCGCCTGTTCTCTTGTGTCCTTTGCACCGTTTTTTGTTTTTGTCTTAAAGGGACACTGACACCCCCCAAACATTTTTTTTTCCTTTTTTGCCAGGCGCTTCATTATGGTGTCGGAGGACTACCCAATTAATATTTTGCAACAGAGTCGCATATTTTTTTAATAAAGACAAAAGACGCAACTGCTCGAAACCGAAACCCGACGGAGGTCGGAGAAGTGGAGAGAAGAGAGTGAGTGGCGGAAGTCACGTGGCTACACCCAACCGTGCATTTTTTTTTTCTCCGTAGCAGACGACACGACATGCGGCGTGCGATGCGGCGTGCGGGAACTGCTGGCCGTGCGATTCTTTTGCAGTTATGTTTGTTCCGCTCGTTGTTCTGTACTCCAAGATGAGTTGTTTTGTACATTGAGGAGTTGGAGATGAGTAGTAAGTGCCCGTGGTGAATTTTCATGATCGGCTCCGAAAAGAATACACCCAAGATGTTGCGTGAAGAGCTGGCTCACATGTCCTGGTCCGAAAAAAAAAAGGGGCATTGTGCGACAGAGTTTCCGAAAGATCAAAGGGATCGGGAGCAATGGCTGGCTGCAATTCCTGTAGAACATATGCGGGCACCTCGGAAAGCGGACGCTACCTGATTTATATGCTCCTTGCATTTTGTGGAAAATGATTACATTGAGTTCGCAGGTGTCAAAAAGGAAATCCCATACCATTTAAATCAGCGAAGTGTCGTCCACAACATTTGTTTGTTATTTTTTGTTTCTTTCTTCAGTGATAATTGTAAAAAAAAAAGATATGTAAACATTAAAAAATGTGAAAAAAATAAAAACATTCACGGGAGATCGATCCCGGTTCTACCGCGTGTGAAGCGGACGTCTTTCCCACTGAGGTACTAGGGCATCTCTCTACAGGTGGATTGCTTTCCTTAGCAATAATTCAGCGGGTAACCTGTAAGTTGGAAAGTTTGCTGCCGATTTTCCTCTAGCAAAAGCACTCCCGGGTCAAAGTCGGGAAGCACCACGCATTGGCGACATTCGCACCTAGTAAAGAAATCGTACGCGTGCATATTCAACTTGAAGTAGACACGTCGTGCTTGACGTTTGCGCGAGCGATGTCTTCAGCAAGAGAAGGGAGTGACGGCTCGGCGACGTCTTCGTGCAAATCGGCTTGGTGGTCGGGCGTGTCGTACGGGATGAATACCAATTCTTTTGATCAGTCCCAAATTTCTCTTTTAAAGGTTGCCAGAATTCGCCGGTACCACGAACGACAGTTCTGAAATAGAGGCCCCACGCCCGTCGTCCGCTGCCATCGCTGTCCCCGCGAGTCCCACGACACGCAAAACGACGAACGCACAGAATGCTTCTGGTTGTGTGTGGAACGTTTTTTTTCAGTCAACGTATTTGCAACTTTTAGAAGCCATAAAAAATGGGTTTCATATTTTTTTCTATTTTTAATACTGAGTGTGTGCCTTCAGTGACCCACGACTTTGATTAAATTTGGTGGTCGCATCGATACCTTAGAAAACGGCCCGTGACCGCGGAAAAGAGAGTGAGCGAGACTCGAACCGGCCAGTTCTTGATCGGCGGTTTTCGGGCGGAAAGAAACCGAATTTCGAGCCGCAAATTCTGTTCTGGGTAGTTGAGCTCTCATATGTCACGTACAACTAAAAACCTCGGCGAGCATAAATACCCTGTCAGTGTCCCTTTAAATAATGGTTTATCATTTAGTCAGTATCAGCACTAGTGAACAAAAGTATGCTCTCAATCATTCCTATGAATTAACTGTGTGCTTGCAATTTAATCGCGAACATTGTTTATGCTTGTGTCTAGAAATGTAACTCGTACCATAATCTATTAAAGGGACATTGATAGGGTGTTTATGCTTGTTGAGGTTTTTGTTTGAACATGACCTGCAATATTCCAACTACCCAGAACATTACTTGCGGATCCAAATTGTTTGTTTCTGCTCAAAAACAGCCATTCTTGAATTGGTTGCTTGCTATCGCACTCACTCTCTTTTTCATGGTTATCTGGGGTTTGAACTGTATGTACCAAATATATTCAAAGTTTTGCATCATCTAAGGCACACATGGAACATTAAAAAAAAAGAAGAATATGAATCACATTTTTGTGGTCTCCAAAAGCCAGCAAAAATGCTGATTGAAAAAAAAAATCCTGCACAGATCACAGGAAGTACTTATACATATCATATTCAATACAGCGACGTACTGCGGGCTGGATGATACAATGGTGACGCATGATGCACCAACGTTGCGACAGATGAGGGGGCTTTACTTCGGAACGGTCATTTGTGATACCAGCCAATTGATCTTCAAGCGCACACATTGAGCGTTTGTCGTGCGAAATAATCGCACGAAAAACGGTGCACGCAAATTCGTCGTCGTCGTCTTTTCGGTTTCGAACTGCAGAGTTTTTTTGGCTTTAGTAAATATGTACGTGGCTGTGTATTAAAATATTTCCTGACTAGTCTTTTGACACAAATTAAATCGCCTGGCAAAAAAAATGAAAAAATATGCACATTTTTAGGGCGTGTTCGTGTCTCTTTAAAGAAGGAAACCGAGGTGCAAGCTGGCACAGGTTAAACAAGGTGAATTACCCAATACAGTAGTAGGGATTCATGAAGGATGATGCAAACACTGAAGTCTAAAACAATGGGCTAAAAATAAATAGGCAACCCTGAAGAGGGAGACACAAAGGCACTTTTTACAAATAATATTTTCCTGCTTACAACCACTCTACAAAGGGAATTCGTTCCCGGATATTGCAGCCTTCTACTGTACGCAACCCCGAAGGTCCCCAAGACAACAAACGAAACGAAGCAACCTACGAACCTCTGAGTAAATGTGGTTGAAAGAAGAATAGCTTGAGTTTTTAACCTAGGAAGTACAAAAACGTCATACACAAGGTCAAGTTTCCGAAAACGGGTCGACATCGAACTTGTTTCTAATGAAAAAATACAGGCAAGAATCAGTGGTATAGCCAAGAATTTTTTTTTTTTTTTTTTAGGTTGGGGGGGGGGGTGGCTGGGATGTCCATTACTTGGGGTTCAGAGAGGGCTAAGGGGTCAAAATGCTTGTGTATAATATTATAGGGTCGGCTGGATTTCGGGGTGGGGCTGAAGCCCCATAAGCACCCCTCCCCCTCCCTGGCTACCTCCCTGTACACCTGTTCCACTCAGAGTCGAAACACAGAAAGGGCTTAGTCAACGCGTTTCTATGCTTTATTATTATTATTATTGATTCTTGCAGTATATGCTTGTAGTCATTCCCTTCGGTCAAAACTATTTCAGCAGGATCCTATAAGGGCGCAAAATTATTACATTTAATCAAGTGGTTTTTTTTTTTTGTTGCTTTTCTTGCAGAATTTTGTTGCAAAGATTGCATAAAAACAGGGATCTGTATTTGGAACTGTGAAAACATTTGAGGGAATAGTTGTGAGCCTTTATGGTTCTGTTCTGAAAAAGTTTTGACCGAAGAGAATGTCCACAAATTTATACTGAAAGAATCAGTAACAAAATTGAAGCTTGTAACTGTGGTGAATAAGTCTTCCCTATGTTTTGACTGTGAGTGGAAGAACTTTTTTAGCCTATATCTTTTTCCCTAGAACCAGGTTTGATGTCCCTTTCTTTTAGGAAGTTAATGTTGTGTATGGTGCTTTTCTATTCTCTAGGCTATAAGCTCGAGGGTATTCCCTGTTTCTTTGATCACATTTACACAGAGGTTAGTAGGTTGCTTCTTTGTATTTCTGTCCTTGAGTATGTTGGGGGTCGTGCTGAGTCCTGGACAGTGCAAGCTGAAATGTTAATGCAGTGACCGAAATCCACTGCTTGCTGGGCTTCTACAAGAGATGCTGAAGTAGCAATAAGAGGCGGTTTGAGGACAAGAGTGCATGGCCACTGCTATGCGACTCTGCCTGTTTCTCATTGTTTAGGAGCACCTCGATTTGAGTCATCTTTATGTTTTGCTATCGCCTAGCCGTGCTTGTTGGCGCCTCAATTATCTGGGCCGGTGGCCTTTGTCCCAGCCAAATAACTTTGTCCTATGACTCAGCAGGCAAACATAATGGTGACTATAAACAATCCCAGAAGCAGCACGTCTGCAGCAAGGTGTGCGGTTCTCAACCATGACCAGGCCGAGTCAGGCATCATGCCACTGCAATCTCTTCTGAACGTTATATTTTTTCGCTACTTGAAGTTTTCTTGTTAAGGCAGTGCCACTGTTGTCAGTCGTCGCTTGGTCATTTCAGCTTCTAGCAACAATGACTGGACTGTAGGGCTGAGCATTGATTATAAATTTAAACATCATTATAATTGCCATCCTTTAACCGATTATTAATAGATTAATCATTCTCATTCCTTTCCATGCATACTCAAAATTATATATATTTTTGTTTGCCTTTGCTGAATGTTTGATAAACAGTATACGAAATTGATTATGAATCAACTTCAATACATAGTTGACAACAGTTTGAGGACACACTCGCAGATTATTACTTGAGTTGCATGAGGCAAAGAGGTTTGTTGATATTCATCGGAAAGAGCGGCTTCCTTTGATTGTTCTCGCAACTCTAAACAGACACTCAATATATGTTAAAGTGGCCAGAGCACATGTAACCCTCTGCACCTTGTCTGGAGTACAAATCTTGCCCTTACAGTTTATTTTAGGTTAAAATTTCACCCAAACGTTGCCCTTCATATACATGTACTCGGCCATTTCTCTATGGTAAAAGCATTTAATTTTGATTTTCTTTTGGTTCGTCAAAGTTTTACCGGTTGACCCGATAAACAGAATAATCCAGATTAAAGCAATATTTGATTAATTGGTCGGTTATTCTATCCATTGTCCAGCCGTACTCTTTAATAGAAGGCACTAAGGTCCAGCAAAATATTTTTCTTTTGGAGATAGTTGTAAGTGGAAGTGCACCCATGGAAAGGGTTTCTTAAAGTCTCCCTCTATATGTTCTGTTGTGTGCCGCTTAATTAGAAACCTTTTTCTCCATTTAAATTTAGCTGAGCCCCAGTCTTCGGTACATTCATCATAAGAAATTTTTTTTATAGTGAAACTTCAAGGCAATGTCAAAATTATTGCAAGTTGAAGCAAACCAAAATCACAAAATGAAGTGATGGTTTCCTCTTTTGTTTAGAGAAAACTAATGTTTATCAATATTTTGTTTGAAGGTGCTTTTATGACAAAAGGTGTCGCCAACCTCTGCTCAAGACCATGTGGCTTGCGGCTTTAAAACCCATCACATTCAAGTGTTATTTAAATTTTTATCTTCATCATCATCATTTTCTTGAACCACAACATTATTTAGAGCACCAGTTTTACTAGGACACTTCCATTGGGGGGGCGGGGGGGGGGGGGGGGCGGGCCAGAGACTCATGTTCTTATTAATTGTGCAATGACAGTGCAGCCACCAACCGCCATTTCTAGTGAAATAGCGGTCTGTGGTGTAACAGATCTAAGAATGAACAGTGTGGAATAATGAAAAACAGTCAACTCCTGTTTTTCCAAGGTCCAGTGACTTGCTTCTGCAGGCATTTATGGTTTTCCAATGCAGTGTAAATGTGATCAAACCAAAAGAGAAGATGTGCTGCATTAATGGTCCCTAGACCTTCCGAGTGGTGATGCTCCTCCTCACCTTTTTCTAGGCAACGAGCGAGAGGTCTCTTCACTAACGTAATCCATCTTGGGCTTCTGGTATAACGAAGGCCACTGGGAGGGGCTTGAGGGCAGTCTGCCTCGAGGGGAAGTTGACTTCTTGATTGCTGCTACTTGGGGACTCCAAGATAGATGGACGAGGCTTCTCAGCAGACCTAGGCTATCCAGGAGTTTGGGGTGGGCATGCCCCTCTGTGTTATGGATGTTTGCGAGTTGTGTTACTTTCCTACATGGCGACAGCCGCCTCCTGTGCATAAGTGAACTGGTGCTCATCTTTTGTGTATGGTTGCTATTCATGTCACTGAAGGAAGCTTTACACTTCCGGTGTGGCATGTCATTTATTTGGCAGCTAGAAAAGCTGTTGCTTGAAGTCAATGTTCAGGTTCTTGGTTTTTGGAGGACCGGAAATATTTTCTAATACACTTGACTCTCAGTATACTCAAACTCCTGAAAGCCACAGACTTTAATTTGAAATGTGAGAAGTTTGAATTATCGGAAAAATATGGAAAAGTGATATGAGGCAAAGTATGAAATCGCTATAGGAATAACTACATATACCAAGCCGTTTTTTATACTATCCTCTGCACAGGCCTATTTAAAAAAGGGCACACATAAAACATTGGTGAGGCTTAAAGCAAATATTAATATTGGCCGAATATTTTCTAATTAAATATAGAATAGTTTCTCAAAGCCTTTTACTACTGTTGTGCCGTGCTTAAACAAAAATTCAGCTTAACTTGTGAAGGCTGTTCCCAACCTTCCCCTTGTCCACTTCTAAGCTCAGTTCGTTTTAATATAACTACATCTATGAACTGTGGCCTCTGTAAGTCCAATGCCTACATTGGGGTGGCATGTAAATGACAGATTTCACATAAAATTAAACCTAAAGAAACGCCCAGCTATCCTAATCGAAGGAATTTATAAATCTGCTTGCTATATGCAAAATATTCTTTCTTTCATCTGGAATTTAATCCCCCTTAGAAAAATCAAAGAAGCACAAATAATGAAAGCAGATTGTCAGGACAGTGCTCCTTGCATAATTGGGATGGCTTAGTCTCACCGAGTATGCTTCTCACCTAGCACCCGTATACTGCGGCAAAGCAATGACCACGAGCTTCGTGTGTATTGCTTTTCCGGAGTACACAGGTGCTCGAAGAAAAGCGCACTCAACGGGGCTAACCCTCCGCAATGGACAAATAGTGTGAATGGAGCGAAAACATTGTTTGAATTAAACAGCTTATAGATGCATTAAAATTTAGCGAAAAAACTAAATTTTAAAATTTGTTTGAATTAACTGGCAGTACAAAATATCAGAGTTTGAATTATTGCGAGTCCACTGTACTTTTTTTAGTTCAGACAAAACAGTATTTAGTGGCAGCTGTCAATGCAAATAGTAGTGGTTGTTTACTTCATATACTTTTTTTCAGGTGCCGTAGTTTTACAGTTTTAGAGGATTTTAAACGATCACATGAAATTGGTAGTACAGCACATCATTATGCTGTAACTCGCCTCTGGCAAGCACATTCCAGGGTTACAAGCAGATTATACTTTTTCATGAAGCCATATGAGTGGCAATTCTTCGGTTTTCTGCTTGTCTAGTTTGGTAGAAACATTGTTCCGAAATGGTGACATGAAAAGAAGCTATTAGTCTAAATTAAATTTTTTTGTCTTGATCCTATAAGTGAATTGCTCTCATATCATTTTGCAGGCATTGCGCTGAGGCTTGGGCCATGTGGAACTGGAGGCAGCCAAGTCATCAAAGAAGATAGGACTTCGGCTCATTCAGAAACCATGTGAACTATGGCACAAGAGGCCCAGGGCACCGGGACAGCTGGCTGAATAAACAGTTAAGCCTTTTAAACATTGAAGTGTGTGCTATCCCAAGGAGAGTAGTTTGAAGGGGATTAGAGTTTTAGACCTCAAGGCAAATAAATGTATTTTTTCCTGCCAAAGGTTGGATACTTCTTGAACAGCCCTGATGCAAAAACACGAAAGAGTTATACAAAGAAGGCGGACAGGACAAACATCTTTCGAATTTCAACACATTGGTGTCTTCTTTTGCTGGTATAAATTGACTAACCTGGGGACATGCACTTTTAATCTGACAGTAAATCGAACTGATGACCCTTTCTTACAGTGTCCATTGAATTCATGATCAGTTAACCAACAGCCTGGCCACCAACACCTTTGAAATTTTTGGACTAGGCAATATATATATCCTTCGGAGACTATATTCTTGTGAAATCGGTAAACTGTTTCTCTGTTGTTTGTTTGCCTAGTAGATAACATACACTGTAAATGACACCAATTTCCTTCGTACGGGGTGACAAGAAACATTGCACATCATTTGTGCCAGACTTCGGAGGTGGTTGTTGGAAAGCTAATGCAACTGCAATTTACCCTAGACTTTGATTATCATGAGCAATTGCAACTAGGTAGGTTTTGTCGACCTTTTTTTCTTTTTGCACAGCGAAGCAGCAGGTGCTGTAACATGAAGGTTCAATAAGAATGGGTGCGTCATATGATGTTCAGATCACAAAGACCTCAATCCGGATGCCTCCTAGCTGATCCACCCCAGTGCCTTGAGTGCATTACAGTGATGCCTAGAGCTTGATTATTGTTGCCTGAAACATGATGAACCTACAAACACAAACATCTGTTCTTGCATGTTATTTTGCCTTTAGATTGGGGAGAAAACTGCCGTCTGGTATACCTTTAGTGGCAATGAAAATGCCACAGCTAGCATTATTTGCCCCATGGCCTAGGTGAAAATGACCTTCGGCTATGCCTTTGTGGCCAGGCAAATGTCACATTGTTTTTTGCTCAATGGCCGAGGTGAAAACAAAGCCAGGCTAATGCCGCGTCGGTATTTGCTCCATGGCCAGGCTGAAAACGACCCTCGGATATACCTTTGTGGCCTAGCAGATGCCGGCCCTCGTTCTTTGCGCAATAGCCGAGATGAAATCAAGGCCTCGGTGGCCTAGCAAATGCCGGCCCTCGGTCTTTGCTTAATGGCCGAGGTAAAATCAAGGCCTCGGTTTCCTAGCACATGCCGGCCCTTGTTTTTTGCCCAATGGCCGAGGTGAAAACGAGACCTCGTTTATACATCTGTGGCCAGGCTAATGCCGCGTCGGTATTTGCTCATTGGCCAGGCTGAAAACGACCCTCGGATATACCTTTGTGGCCTAGCAGATGCCGGCCCTCGTTCTTTGCTCAATGGCCGAGATGAAAACAAGGCCTCGGTGGCCTAGCAAATGCCTGCCCTCGGTCTTTGCTTAATGGCCGAGGTGAAATCAAGGCCTCGGTGGCCTAGCACATGCCGGCCCTTGTTTTTTGCCCAATGGCCGAGGTGGCCAGGCTAATGCCGCGTCGGTATTTGCTCCATGGCCAGGCTGAAAACGACCCTCGGATATACCTTTGTGGCCTAGCAGATGCCGGCCCTCGTTCTTTGCTCAATGGCCAAGGTGAAAACAAGGCCTCGGTGGCCTAGCAAATCCCGGCCCTCGGTCTTTGCTTAATGGCCGAGGTGAAATCAAGGCCTCGGTGACCTAGCAAATGCCGGTCCTTGTTATTTGCCCAATGGCCAAGGTGAAAACAAGACCTCGGTGGCCTGGCAAATGCAGGCCCTCGTTTTTTTGCCCTGTGGCCGAGGTGAAAACAAGGCCTTGGCAACTGGGCAAATGCCGGGCTAGGCCCTTCCTTGGTGGCCAACATGTAAAAAAATACCTTGGATGGCCGGGAGTTTTTCGAGCACTGCCCTTTTCCAATGGCCGAGCTGAATTGGAGGCATCGGTGGCCTGGCTTTTGCCGACCATGGTTTTTGGTTGTCCACCGAGGATTTGCCGGTGGCCGACCAAATTGATCGTTGGCCTAGCAATGGCCGAGGCATGGCCGATGATTTTAGAAAATTCTGTGCTACTTGGGTACTCGTCTACCTCTGCGTGGTGAATGCGTTGCATTTTTACTCTTCCGACTGTTTCTCACATTTCGCCCGATTAACCGGTTAAGTTTGTCGCAATTAAAGAATTATTTGATTAATCGGTAGGTTCATTGATGAAGTGCCCAGCCCTACTTATACTATTTTTGTAACAAACAGACGTTTGGTGGTAGCAAGCATCCGGGGCGTGGAACGAATCCTTCTCGAAGCTGTGGGCGCATTCAAATCAGTGTCACAAGCTGCCCGCTACTAAACACGGTCCCCGACTTGACGGAACTCACTCGTGCACCGCGATCTGGCACTTGACCACATCGAGAAGCGTCCAGAACAGAGTCAGCACGAAGGCCACTATGACCTGGAAGAGACGAGCGCAGTATATACACAGCACTAATGCTCCGACGTACGCAAATGATTGTACCGGGCGCGTATTCGAAAAAGCCGGTTGGAGTACGTCTCCAGGCTAATGTTGGCACTCTGATTGGCCCGTTTTCACGGATGTCACCTCTCCTGGCTGATGGGGTAATGAGAGGAGATTGGGGGGGGGGGGGGGGCGGGGGGGGGGGCTTAGGTTTAAGTCTACTGTAGGATTCGACCCAGAAATGTTTTGGCTCGGCCACAGAGCGCGAGCTCGGCAACTGATACCAAGCTGTAAGACAAAATATTAAGGAACTTTACCCACAACACTCTCCTACCTCCCCCCAGTAGAAGAGGCAATGTGACGTCCGTTAAAAATCACGCCAATCAAAGTGCCGAAATTGGCCTGCATACCTACTTCACCAGCTTTTCCTGATGCGCGTACGGGCCGGTTCGATAGGAATAATACGTAGTTTTAGGGAACCGTTTTTCCACATCCTGTACCGTACGATGGGCCATCCGGTATGCACTGAGCATGCGCTACCACAGAATTCTCACATATGCGCAGTTCGTACTGCAAGGGCCATCCTAGCGCATGGGATGTACAAAAACGGTTTCCTAAAACTCTCTAATGGTGAGGTTTAGTAGATCGTTCCGATACCTCCGATAACGATACGATGCGCGGGCAAAGGCTGAGGCGGAGCATTGGGTATCATTATCGGAGTCATAGGAACGACCTAATAAAACTCTCTAACGAAACTCGACTTTTCGTCCCGTATAAATGAACTACCACTCGCAGATATCTGAAACTCCGAAAATTGGAGCAGCGGCGGTAATATATAGTGCCAAAGATTGAGAATATATATGACCTTGCTTAGATCATTGTTCTGCGTCTTGCCTGGCTTGATCATCGAAACTACCCAAGAGAGATTCCACTCTTGTGGAAGATTTTAGTAGCATGCCTGATGCGCATCTCTTATTAATTTATTATTAAACAGTGTAACATCACCAAGATAACCGATATTTCTTTTTCTTGCAGACAAGGTGTTTTTTTTTTCCTCTGAAATATAATATACTAAAGGCGCCTACAATGCCATTTCTTGGTAAGATAAATATCTGCCTTAGGTGAACGGTGGCTCTTGGCGAAATTTTCTTTTTTTCTTTTATATCTTTTCATACAGGTAAGGTCTTGTTTCAAACCTTCGCATTTTACCCCAGGCGGGAGCGTCTCGTTGGGGAGTTTGTGAAGAGTTTCAGTAGATCGTTCCAATTACTTCGATAAAGATACCCAACTTTTGCGGACGCGTCGTATCGTTATCAGGTACCGTTATCTCGAGTTACCGAAACGATTTACTAACACTCTATTCGCACGGAGTTGCGAAATTCTGCAGCGCGCCGTTTATTTACGCTGGCCGAAAAGGGTTTCAATTTCTCGATCGGACTGGGTACTTCGTAGCGCACTCACTTTGTTCCGGGTTGTCGTCCCCCTGGCAGCGGCACCTCACCGACTCGCTAACGTGGTTCTGCGTCCAAGAAAAGGCCGTAAGAAAAAAGCCTGCTCGGTGCCGGAGCCGATGGAGCGAAACTTCTTTGGTCGATTGTGGCGCGTGGCTGTTAGGGTAGGACTAGATTGGATTGGATTATGGCGGCTGAACCCTTTTTATCGGGCGATGAGAGCCCATACTAGAGCCACTAAATGAACTACGCTTAAGCCTAGTTCACATGCAGCGGTTTTGGCCCTAGAGCGGCGCGATTTCTGCCGTCGCGGCGCTCTGGCCAGCACCAGCGGTTGAGCGGCACGAGGGCCGCGACGGCGGAAATCGCGCAGCTTTAGGGCCAAAATCGCTGCATGTGAAACACGCTTTAGTGTATCGGCACTCTTTTCCCCGATATTGGCGTAGGTGCCGGCATCTTGCCTGCGCAGAGCCGTAGCCTCCTCTGTACTCACAAAACCTGGCAGCTCGACGACAGAGCCATAGAGTGCCCGGTCGCAGATTTGGAGCGCGAGGATCTGGTAGCAGAGAGCATGTATGTATGTATGTATGTATTTATAAGGTGATTCCTTTTGAATCGGGCGTCTACTAAAAAGACGCAAAAAAAGAAAAGCTAAAAGCGGAGTGTATCCAGTACTTAGCTTCAACAGTGTACTGCCCACCAGGCCTCGAGTCTCCGCTTCGAGCACCGCACATACGTGTTCTCCTCGGTAAACCCGAGGGCTTGCTCGATGCGAGCGCTGACGTCTGCTGCCGGTGAAAGTGCCGGACACTCAAGACCCAAGTGGTGTATAGTTTCTTCCACTACCCCACAAGCACTGCATGGGGTGTCGGTCACGTTGCTGTCGTACTTTCGTCGATACAGGCGGGTACGCAGGGCGCCCCCAAGGGCCTCAGCGAGGCGCCTGCTGCCCAGCGCATTACCACACCAGAGGATTGGAGCAATGGTTGGTCTTGAAAGACGCGTAGAGGTGCATGCTTGGGTGTCCTTGCATGCCTGCTCTCCACCGGTCCGCATCGACGGTCTTAAATTTCTCTCTCACTTTGGCAACCCATTCCTTCTTTGTCGGAGGCTCGTCGGAGATTGAGCAAGCCCCGTATGT